CAGGGATGATTTAGAGGTGTCCCATCTGGATGGAGCTTCTTGACAATATCATTGGGAATGTTTGGCTTACACACTATCAGTGGTGAATCTTTCCCAAAGATTTCACCAATTTAATATATTAGACCGCTTCTTAAAGCTCCAATACTATATTGGATCATTCTGCATATATACTACTGCCTTCTTACTGAAGGATGGAATTTCAGAAGTAGTGTTCAAGCAAACTATTGTACATAGTTTTTAGGAGAGTAGAATTACATATAAAAATTAGCGAAATTATTGGAAGGGTCATCACTAATGAGTCAAGCTCTCCCAATATTTTTTAAAGAAGTTTTTTAGAAGTTTGTATCATGTGTAGAATAAACATTCTTGATTCAATGCTTTCATTTTTCACGTATAGATGGCGCGTTATTGTTTTATATTAATAAATGATATTTTTCACGAAGGTGTTTTGAATAGACCCCTACTAGCCGAATGACCCGGGCAACGCCCGGGTTTTACCCGATTAAATGCTTTTATTCAAATACTATTCGTTACAATTATAAATTGGCGCCGTGGATGTCATTCTTGTATAATATATAAATGAGTTTTAAAAATTGTAAAAAAAATAAAATGCATCGGCCGGGAATCGAACCCGGGCCCCCCGCGTGGCAGGCGAGCATTTTACCACTGAACCACAGATGCTTATAAGAAATGGCCATATTTGGGTATTTATTCCATTCACTAAAGCAAACGGTGACAGAATTGTTGATTGATTGTTGATTATGACTCTGATACTTGTATATTTTAAATAATAAAATATCATCGTAGCGATCTCTAAATCTGAAAATTGCTTCAAATTTTTTACGCTACTTTCTAAAATAAAAACATTTTTCTGAAGACCTTATATTTTCTTGACGCATAGCTTTCTCGAACATCTTGTGAAATAATTCAGAAATTATAAGAAAATTAGCCTACTACAATAATTGAGAGTTCTGGAGATTAAATTGGGTGAACTACCTAGGATGTTTCAATACTGATAGGTTATGATATATTATTCCCAATTTTTCTTAGGGTATTATTGCTCTGTAGAAATAGAATTTTATTAAAATAAAACGTTACATTTAGTAAATCAATTTTCAGATTCTTATATACCTTTGAAAAAATCTTGATTTTCACCCAATATCAAAATGAAACAAAAAATATTGTGCCGAAGAAATAATTTATTTTTTAATTTAATTTATAATTATTCAATGAAAATATTCAACAGATTATAAAAATATATATTACTCTGTATAGATAAAGAATTCTTCCTGAATTGAAATTAGACGAAAAACATGGTGAAGGAAGACGAGTTTCTTTTATTGATGTATAGATTTACCCGAAAGCTTGCACCTATGCATCAATAAAAGAAACTCGTCTTCCTTCACCATGTTTTTCATCTAATATATTACTCTGTATTTGTAAAATCATCATAAAAATATTTCTTTGCTTGCTTGTTCAAGAACTGTAGATAATTTGGTTGGTTTGTTGATAATTGTCGACTGGTCGTGGTGACGTCTTCAATAAATACTTTCACATCTCCAGATATACAAAGATTTGATTTCTACGCTACAACATAAAGCATTTTCTAACTGTTCATTTGAATATTATTGATGTCTTGATTTATGTATCAGAATGATTATCAGCTACATAAGAAATAAAACAAGAAGAATGTTTCTTTTTCAAATGGAACAAATTTCTTCTGTTCTTATTGCAATGGAAAACATTGATAGGGATTAGGTCTCAACATTGGGGGGTAAACTCACTCAAAGATTCGCTAATTTAATTTACCAGACCGTTTCTAGAGTTTCTAATACTGTATTGGACGATTCTGACTCTAAATGAAAACACTAAAGGGTGGAATTAAGATTTTATATTAAAAAATAGAAACAGAATGCTACCTAACCGATGATTTCTCTTTATCAGTCAAACGAAGTATAGCTCAATCGAGAATACTATTTACAGTCTTTAAAAAAACACGTTCTGACGTTTGAGGCCAAAAACCTAATATGTACACAGTGTGACAAGAAAATTACTGAAGAACTCCCCCATTGCCTGCTTAATTGTACAGCCCTTGATGCAGAGAGGAAGGCCCTATTTCAACAAATTAAATGTACAAACATATCACCCTTCGTATTGCTTTCAAAATATCAGCAAACAAATCTAAGTCAATAGCCTACTATAATTTTTTTAGATCATCATTATGTAAGGACCAGGCAACAAGTGAATGACTTTGAGATGAAGAGTAAAGCCAGTTCAATTTCTATGTAAATAACACAAGTTGATTATGACCTTAACCAATTGGGAGAATCTGTATGGGGCAAGTCCTTAATAAAGGCTTTTGTGTGTGTGTGATTTTCTATTAAAGCAAATTAAATGCATAAGCTTTACAGAAGAGTAGAATTGTAAATAGATATTTGCATCGAGCAATGCTCTTCCGCAAATCACTTCATCACAGTAAGGACAGTAGAAACTTGATTTATGTTATAAAGAAACATTCACGTCTTGATGTTTTCATTTGCTATATATAGATGGCGCGTTTATGCTTTGTATTAAATATAGGAATAAAAAGAAATATATATTTTTGTCCATGTTAAAACTTTTTAAACCCTTTCAACCAATAAGAATAAAGCCAGTTAGGCATAAATTAAATACATGTATTAAGATATAGTTTATCATTGAAAACTCAAGACTTTATAGCAAATGAAAATTGCACTAGAAGAGGAATTTAATCTTTTTGAAACTTATTTATTTTCTCATGTTTGTCAAAGTGTTCCTAAAAGACTTAGATTGTGTTTAGAAGCAAATGTAGGACATTTTGAATAACTATTAAATTCAAATATATTTGAAAAAACTTAAATCTATTACCTTTTTTTTTTTTTGCTTATCTCTAGTACACGTGGTACAGGCCATGCTATCCATGATGGGTAGAAGTAGGCGACTGCTTTTCGACTTTGCACTTACAAATATGCCAGAGCCCCGTTTAGTTATTTTCACTCGCTAGTGGGGTTGGACTTTTACAAGAATCGGGAGCCATTGGAACATTTTTTTAAATCAGAAAAAGTGTCCAATGCGGGAATCGAACCCGAATCGTAGCGGTCGAAAACCAACGGTTTAGACCATCCTTCCACCGACCCCCCAATAATATATTACCTGAAATGAAATAGTAATAGTTTTATATTCTAGTTTGTCTTCTAATTTTAATTAAAATAAAAAAAGGTTTGGGAACTTTATGGGCTAACCTGTTTAAGGCAATAACGCGCCATCTATATATAATAAATACAAAGATAAAATATTTGTTTTTGACTCATGCTCTAGATATTGTACTAAATTAAAAAAAATCATGTGAGAACGCCCTTGAAACCTCAGAAAAAATTTTAACGCCTTGCCAAATGTTTTATTTTTATTTACTTCTGACGAAGACAAAAGATTTTTGTCGAAACGTTGAGAAAATAAAAAAAAACTCTAACTTGCCGCAGTGTCTATTTTTCATAGAAAAAAAAAAACAACGATAAAACTTCAAAACATTGCAGAATGTGAAGGAAAATCATATGAATAATTAAAACTTAAAAAGTATCAACATTAAAAAATAAAATTACTCTTACATTGCTGAAATTTCTTTCTGCATAATCAGATTATCAAGCGCCATTTTCCTATAATGCAACGATAAAAATAAGTTTAATTATATTAAATATTAATAAATATACTTGAATTCTGTAAGTCTTTGATCTTCTGTATCAAAATTAATTCGCAAACTTTGTAATTCTGATATTTGATACAATCTTGCAGAGTGCTTTGTTTCCTAATTTCATTTTTTTTACATAACCTTCTATGCGGCAATCTTTTGAAACTTATTTTTCAATCTTATTTTTACTCGTTTCTCTCCACATATTCTTGCATTTTGAGTAATTCTTCACTATTATATTTCATAGATTTTTCTTTTGTTTTCTATTTACTTTATATTTAATTAAAAAGACAAATATTGGATCAAAATATCATTTATTTTACCAATATTTCAGTTGGTAGAACGACAACCTTTATCAAGGTATTATAACACACATATATATAATATGAAAATTGAAATTATACCGCGAATGTTTCTAGTCTTCGCTTTCTTCGTCCAAATGGACCACGTCATTCGGCGATTCTATTAATCTCCTCCGAACGGTGACTGAATATAGTTAATATATAAAATATATCGTATTTATAATCTATTGATATCTTTTGGTTCATAATTCCCTTTCTGTTCCTTTTTGATTCAAGCTTGACTCAATCAATCTTAAATCTGTTTTGAAATATTGCAAGAAACTGGCAGTTCCTTCTAAGGTTGTCAACTTGTCACCTTGTTACCTATCAAATTCCTGGAACCATATTGCATATAATTATAATGATTAATTACTAATATAGTTCATTAATTTGATGAAATTATGTAATATCCTTCCCTGCTTTTGCACTTTGACAAAATTAATATGGAATCCAGGGCTTGGTTTCTTTAGAAAATAAACTTAGCCATAGAGATGCCTTATTACACCGTCGCAAACTTAGTGGCCTCAGGTCGGTGACAAAGCCACAACACCAACTTCGGCAAACTGAGAAGCGTCCACCTAGAGACCATGATTTCGGGCTAATGGACATCGTCAGTCTAGGGCGGACTGTGTTGTGGCTTTGTCACTCACCTGAGGCCGCTAGTTTGCCGCGACGGTCAAAAGTTGGCGTCAGGTTTTGACGTTTATTTTGACGGAAGAGGCGCCATATGCTTCTATATATGTGTGTGTTATATTATTTTATAGGTAATGGATTATATACAGTTAAACTATCTAAAATACAATATAACGCGGCTGATGATTGTAAAACGAAAATTAAAATTATACCGCGAATGTTTTTTTAAAAATCGAAATTTATTTTCAAAGAGAAATAGCGACATTTTTAACTTTGAGGATGAGGTATGGAAAGGTGAAACATGAAGAGTGATGGCGAACGGAAAAATAAAAAGTGTCCAGGGGCGGGAATCGAACCCACACCCTTCTGCTTACCGGGCAGGTGCCTTGTCCACTTGTCCACTTATTTTTCCGTTCGCCATCACTCTTCATGTTTCACCTTTCCATACCTCATCCTCAAAGTTAGAAATGTCGCTATTTCTCTTTGGAAAGTGAATTTCGATTTTTATAAAAGAAACATTCGCGGTATAATTTCAATTTTCGTTTTACAATCATCAGCCGCGTTATATTGTATTTTAAAATATATATAATATAATAATAACACACATTAATATGTAGCCTAGTGGACATGCAATCTGCCCGGTAAGCGGAACATTGTGGGTTCGATTCCCATCCCTGGACACTTTTATTTTTCCGTTCATCATTACTCTTCATAATTCACCCTTTCGTATCTCATCTAAAAAGGTTAGAAATAGTCAATATTTCACCTTGAAATAAATTTTGATTTTTCATTGAAAAGAAACTCATGCGGTGTAACTTCAAGTGTTGTTTTACAATCACAAGCCGCAGTGTATTATACACATTAATATGTTATAACACCTTGATAAAGGTTGGCGTTCAGCCAACTGAAATATTGGTAAAATAAATGATATTTTGATCCAATATATGCCTTTTTATTTAAAGATTTATTTATGGATTGCTCTATTATTAGTAGATGAGCAAATATAAATCTCAGAATGACACAAGGCGTTAATTTGGATTTAAAACAATTCAAATTTGCAAAATATTGAAGAAAGAATGGCTCGTTCAACTGGATTTATAATCAAAGTCAATCCTAAGTTTTATAAGAGTTTTACCTTAATACATCTAAAAGTAATAAGTATATCCAAGAGAGAAATTTTTGCTTATCCCAAGTATACGTGGTACAGGCCATGATAATCATGGTTAGTAGAAGTTAGAGGCAGCTTTTACTGTAAGTGCACCACATGTCAATACATGTGAAAAGTAGAAAAATACACCCAACGTGGGGCTTGAACACACGACCCTGAGATTAAGAGTCTTATGCTCTACCGACTGAGCAAGCCAGGCTTTTACTAATACATTTTTGAGAAATCTACTTTATATAAAATAATGTGAGAATAAGTTATTATCATGACATTATATTTCATTTAATTCTTTATCTATTCATAATAAAAAGACTACCACCTTACATACTAAATTTTATTTGCGCTCTATGGAAGATTTTTTATATATAAATTTAGCGATTTCAGCATTTAATTCTAATTTGCTCACTCGCGCGATGACAATTGAATTATTTTAAAGTCTTTTTTAATGACCATCTTTCAAATAATTAAACCACATGACTCTCCACATTTTATTTAAAATATTTATAATTTCTCTTGGTGTTGATCACGGCTTATTTTATAACAATAAATCTTGATTTTTAAAGACTTACAAAAATATATAAGAAAATATAGCTATGACGATATTCTGAATATTTTCTTATTGTGTATATGTCAAATTCCCACTCAGAGTCTTATATATTTGTCTCTATCTTGAATTTCTAAACAAACATTTCCAATATATCAATTGTCAACTTCTAATTGGATGCAAGTTATTGATGTGTGTGGCCAACAGACAAACAAACACATGCCATTCATGTAAATAAATAAAATAATATATATAAAAGATTAAAAAATAAAAAGGCATATCCTGACCAGGAGCACATGTGCTTTTCAGATGACAGAGCGCCATCTAGTGTAACAGATATCAACTAAACATTAATTTAACCTGTTTCCTGATATTTGGTCAACCCAATTTCTTGATAAATCAAGAAAAGCTATTCACGAACGCGTTTCGCGCTGTTGGCGTTCGTCAACGTGGAATAGGCTGTACAACTGCGACCAAAAAGCACATGTGCTCCTAGTCAGGATATGCCTTTTTATTTTTAATATTGACACCTATTATTTTTTTCTATTATTTTTTCATATAAAAATATGATTACCTTTTATTCATTAACGGAACCTGAATGACGAAAAGTAGCAAAAAAGTAAAATAAATATGTGATAAATGAATGTTAAATGAAATAAATGAATATTAAACAAGCCATAAAACCTTTTCAAGAACAAGATCCCCAAGGACTGAGGACCCAAAGACATTAATATAAAATATAATTGTAGATGAACCACACCCTTGTATATAACTCCACATCCCCCATTGTAAATATGATGATTTAGGTTGTTCTTTTTGAGCGGCATCTGATATAGTTATTTTAGAACTTTTGGATCACCTTTCATATACAGTAGTACCTCCCTGTAAAGGACACCTAATTACAGAGCCAAAGTGTCCTTTATGAAGAGGTCTCCTCTTACTGGAGAGTGTCTCAAAATAGTAAAAATGACAATTCTTCAAATGGAAAATGTCCTTTGTAGAGAGGTGTCCTCTTACCGGAGAGTTACTAAATAGTAAAAATGGTAATTTTGACAATAAAATCTGTCCTTTGTAGAGAGGTGTCCTCTTACCAGAGAGTTACTAAATAGTAAAAATGGTAATTTTGACAATGAAAACTGTACTTTGTAGAGAGGTGTCCTCTTACCAGAGAGTTACTAAATAGTAAAAATGGTAATTTTGACAATGAAAACTGTCCTTTGTAGAGAGGTGTCCTCTTAACAGAGAGTTACTAAATAGTAAAAATGGTAATTTTGACAATAAAAACTGTCCTTTGTAGAGAGGTGTCCTCTTACCAGAGAGTTACTAAATGGTAAAAATTGTAATTTTGACAATAAAAACTGTACTTTGTAGAGAGGTGTCCTTTTACCAGAGAGTTACTAAATAGTAAAAATGGTAATTTTGACAATGAAAACTGTCCTTTGTAGAGAGGTGTCCTCTTAACAGAGAGTTACTAAATAGTAAAAATGGTAATTTTGACAATAAAATCTGTCCTTTGTAGAGAGGTGTCCTCTTAACAGAGAGTTACTGAATAGTAAAAATGGTAATTTTGACAATAAAAACTGTACTTTCTAGAGAGGTGTCCTTTTACCAGAGAGTTACTAAATAAGTAAAAATGGTAATTTTGACAAATAAAAACTGTCCTTTGTAGAGAGGTGTCCTCTTAACAGAGAGTTACTAAATATTAAAAATGGTAATTTTGACAATTAAAACTGTCCTTTATAGAGAGGTGTCCTTTAGCGTGAGTGTCTTCTCATGGAGGTTCTACTGTATATTAATAATCAAAACAATGTTCTTTTTTTCAGAGACATTTCAAATGATTTTTTCTCTATTTTATAGTCACTTTTTGGAATATCTACAAATGATACAAAAATGCTATTTCTGGCAAAAGCTATTACTGGGTTAATATTATATTCATAAATTTAATTAATAAACCAAGAATTGCAGTCAGTCGTGAAACTAAATTATGAATTAATGTGAAAATAATGGGCCTTAGATAATTTGAAAGATCTAATTTATATAAATAAAGATACAGAACTTAGTCAAGTTTTTATTGAGCGCATAGAATTTTTATAATAATCAGTGGACGAGTGGATGACACCGTATATTCCCGACAGTCATGAACCAGGTTCGAATCCCGTATTGGAAACTTTGTTTTAATATGTGAATAACTTTTACATATTATCAATTAAAAATAAAGAAGGCATCTCCTGACCACGAGCACATGTGCCTTCTAGATGGCAGAGCGCCATCTAGTGGAGCAAAAATAAACTAAACGTTTATTTAGCTTGCTCCGTGATATTTGGCCAACCCAATTTCTTGATAAATCAAGAAAAGCCATCCACGAACGCGTTTCGCGCTGTTGGCGCTCGTCAGTGTGGAGTAGGCTGTACCACTGCGACCAAAAATATTTTTTGGTCCCAGAGGCTTCTTGAGAAATCAAGAAATGGGTATTTAAGGCCAAATTTGCGTAAAGACGCTTTGCGCTCTGCCATCTAAAAAGCACATGTGCTTGTGGTCAGGAGATGCCTTCTTTATTTTTAATATCAACACCTGACCAACTTATATTTTATTTTTTCTATTGTTTTATTTTTCATATTATTAATTGTAAGTGTCATAAGCATAATAAGGCACTAAGCCAGAATGATAAAAGGGAAAAAAGGTGAAATAAACCCACTTTAAATATTAAACAAGCCAGAAAAAGTTTCATCAAGTACAAAACCACCGAGGATCTGAGAATCCAAAGACACAAATATAAAATATAACTCATAATGATTATAAAACGATGTTCAACAAGTTTTACCGCAAATGTTTCTTTTAACAGAACGTAAAATCGTAATTTTAATTATTTAAGGAGAAATAACGACTATCCCCATCCTTAAATATGAAGTATGAAAGGATGAATTGTGAAGAGTAATGATGTAGCTTAGTAGTCATGGCATCTTCCTGGTAAGCGGAACACTGTGGGTTCGATTATATCCTTGGACAATTTTTTTCCGGTCATCATTACTCTTCACAATTCATCATTTCATACTTCATCCCTAAGGATAGGAATAGTCGTTATTTCTCCTTAAAATAAATTACGATTTTTCGTTCAAAAGAAACATTTGCGGTAAAACTTGTTAAACGTCGTTTTATATATAATTATAATATATAATTATATAATTATATTATATAATTATAAATAAACCCTTGTATATAACCATACATACCCCATTGAGAATATCATAAGCTAGATTAATCGTTTTGAGCGGCACCTAGTGTAAAGTAATTTTGGAACCAGGATAGCATAGAAATTTTACATATTACTCAATTACATATTAGCCGATGCTCCACTTATTTATTCACACTTGAATACATTTTCCATTAAAACATTTCTTTATGCGTATATGCATTTTATGATTTCAGCTTTTGATTCCACTTCCGATTAAATTGCATTTGTTTTTAATACTTTTGGTTTAATTTGAAGAATGCTTCGTTTAATAAAAAAAAAAATACAATTTTCACGTGATTCCGAACTTATTATAAAAAATATTATATTTAAAGTAATATGATATATGTCTGATGATTTATAAAGTAGATTAATAATGTTTTACTGATAAAATAATATTTATTTTTAATATAAAGTTATATTTATAAATGTAATTATACTTTTCTAAAATCTTATGTCTATAGTTTGCG